CCCCAAAACCCCAAAACCCCAAAACCCCAAAACCCCAAAACCCCAAAACCCCAAAACCCCGAGGAGCTAGGATGACCTTGAATGATTTAATTCTCATATTGATAGTAGAGTTTGGAATCCTGTAAAACACCGTGTTTTCTGAGAATAGTATCTATATTCTTGGTGATTCCAAGGCATCTCTCATCTTCAAATTGCTGAGTGGTAATTTGGACTAGAAGTGAGATAAGGGAGTGATTTCTTACTTCCGACAGGTAAGCCTACACTTCCTCTGATGGCATCCTTGTGGTATCTGAGAATTAGAGAAGGAGCTTACCTCACAAATGTTTCGTCACCTTTAGTCTTCTTCAAATATGTAATTTTTCCTAAAGAGTTTATTAGATAGAGATACCGTTGTTTATCTCTCTTATGCCATCATCTACATATTCTTGTCCTTCACCTATTAGACGAATTTTAGTAAACACGACAAGTGTAAATCAGTGTATGATTTAGCTATTTTAAAGCTAATATTGTAGCAAAGATTTCCAGAAAACTTACCCGAGAGATTATCAATATCTGCATCTTCCTCTGTAGTGATATGAACTCTGGGAATCACCGAAGTAGGGAAATCCAAGAAGTTCCACAATGCAGTGTAGAAGACGGTATGAGTGAGCTCCTTGAAAGTTTCGTGCTTAATAGCAGGAGTAGAATTCACAGGGGAAATTACAGCATCGAACTTATTATCTTCAAAATATTTAGAGATCTTCTTTGTCATATGTAATTTATCAAATGAGTTCAAGTGAAATTCTTTGACATTAGGATTTCCAAATACTTGAACCGAGTCATATTTTCTATATTCTTCTAAGAAATAGAAGATTTTGCCAACAATTCCCCTCAGGAATTTTGGAATGCTTTCACTTAGTTTGATATTTTTGTAGTCTTCTATTACTTCTTCATCTCCAAGTAATTCTTTGTTCTACAATTTGAGGAGAGAATACTTACAAGACCAGAAGAGAGTAGAATGGAGAGGTATGTTCTTTGGAATCCAGCAAACAGAGTCGTATCAAATTCAACAACTTCATGGCCTTCCTTCTTGAGAGTGTCTATTGTCTTCTCCATTGCTTTTAAAGATGCTTTGCAGCAATCTACCATTTACTTCTGAGGCTTACTTGCAATTCCATTGTAGGTAAAGTATCCAATCTTTAGCTTTTTCTTGGACAATCCTTCTTCATAATAACTTTGGTTGAAGCCCATTGGAGGAGAATACATTTCTACACAGCGTTAAAACATTACTTATACCTATTCTTCCGATATTATCTGTTTCAGATTTTTCTCCCTATAATTGGTGAGAGCTTGTTTAAAGATAGTTAATAAATTTGAGAGTGCTTACTTTTCTGTGGTATTCAAGCATCATTTTGTTCCCCAAGATAACATTGTCTAATGATTTTGAGAGTGGTCCGCAACATGCAAGAATTTGCTCTTGAGGTTTCGCAGAGGATTCTCTACACGAAGCTGAAAAGAAATGAGGCATCTAAAGATGTTATCCAAAATCTTACCCTGGTTGAAGTAGCTTTAAAACCATATACTCCGCAGAAGTTTGCTGGCATTCTAATACTTCCTCCAATGTCAGCTCCAAAGCTTATTGGAGAAGCATTCAGAGCGGTGATAGCTCCACAGCCTCCTGAAGACCCTCCAGGAGATCTTCCTAAGCAGAGAGGATTTTCTGCCCTTCCAAAAACTCTATTGTAGGATTCAAAAGAGAGTAGCAGCATTGGAACGTTTGTTTTGGTGAATACAATTCCATAATTTTTGTTGATTAAGTCTTCTAGAGGGGCATATCCTTTGTATGTTTGATCAAGCTCATTTATACATCCAAAGGTTAGCTTCATATCGCTAAAGTATAAGATGGGTAAACACTTTGTGCACTTACTCGCAGTAAAATGTCTCTTTGAAAGATACAGGAATTCCAAACAACACCTATAATATAAATCTAAAAATTCTGAATAAGAATAGATATCGCTTCTAAAATATTGGATACAAAATTTATCCTGTAAACAACAGGAGGGGCATCACTTCATGATACATGGAGGTTATCCAAGAAGAAAACTAGCAAGATAATGCCAATCAAGGCCAAGCATTATATAATCGAACTTAAACTTGTCTGTATTAACTTGTGTTAAATGAGCATAAAGTGTATTTTAAAAACCTATTCTCGACTAAAAATTCAGTTAGTGCTCGAGTATTTTAAATGTTGCGAAAAAGGGAGACCTCAACATCTGTTGAGATGCATCAAATGTTTACCCCTTCATAATCGCATCCAGAGATAATTCTTTCAAATTCTTCTGGATTTGAAAGAATTCGGTCACATTCTTGGGCTTTTTGGTATGCCTTTTCAAAATTAGGTTCAGCTAAGATATTCAAAGGAAATGCGTATTGAACGCATCTGTCAATATAGAACATAAGGAGATCAACTGAACCGAATTTTCCGGCTCTCATCTCTCTTTGGAGGTCATAGATGCTTTCACAATTAGTAATAGCCTGTTTCTTCTCTTCATTAGGGATGAACTCTCTGTACTTCTCTATAAAATCTTGAGTATTTATTAATAAGTAACTGTCATTTTATATCTCAAAATTTATAAGGAAGCGTGCAAATTTTATAGAGATTTTGAATCAAAATTAAACGTAAGTTAATAGTTACTCTGAGAGCAAAAACTAAATGCGATTGTTTGAGATAAAGAATATGAAGAAAAATTTAGTTGGCTCATTAAGAGCTGACTAGGATTGTGACTTGAGATTCTTAATAAAATTGAGAGGAATATTTTTCATTCAAATAAATTTCTTGGTTTAATAGCTAATTAGGTTTATTATTAATTGTCAATAATTTAGTGTTAGAGATTTCAAAATAATAATTTAAGTTTAAGATGTCTATTGTTTGTATAATTTAAGGAAAGCCCTTTTTGAAATAAATAAAATATTAATTTTTTACTTTGCGAATAATCTGACGAATTCCCAATATCATTGCTCAAAATTGTTAATCACCTTATCCCATAAACTTAAAGTTTCCATCCATTCCTAATTCCCTACCCGACCCTACTCCACAACTTCCATCAGCCGACCTCTCTCCCTCCAAAAGACAACATCTCTTCAACTTCACCTCCAACCCCTCCAGTCGCTCACCTATCTCTTTATCCCTCTTTGCCCTATACGCCTGGGCTTTCTCTACCAAATCCTGATGCTTGGCCTTCGATCTGTACCTGTCCAGTACAAACTTGCCTATCAAAATGCATACAAATAGGAGCAAGACCATGGGCAAAGTGCTGAGAATATCCATTTTGTTAATAATAAGATTTATGTGAAAGATTGGGGTTTTGGGGTTTTGGGGTTTTGGGG